AACAAGAAGGCCTTTTGCTGGACAGGCTTGCTAATTTATTCATATATTACAGAAACACTTTTCTATGCCTTTCATTACTTGCCACCTGCTAAGCTATACTAAGGTGAGAAAAATCACCTTAGCTTTCTGCAACCTAATCATCCCAGTGGTTGGCAGCAAAAACAAGCAAGCCTACAAGACTAGGGAAAGACATTACATACAAACCAGTTTAAGTGATCAGAAACTGGTTTAAACCTGTAACAGAACAGAAGCTCAGTGCACATAAACTAGTTTCAAAATGGCCGAAACTGGTTTGAGATAAACCTGGTTGAATACAGTATCAGACTTAACTGATTGATCTCAAACTGATTTATGCAATGCCTGTCCCAAACCTCTTCCTGGTTTAAGTTAAACCAAAGTCCCCCAGAATGCTCTCTGGGCTGGGCTGTGTTCTCTGCTCCAGCGGAAGAGGAATGGCCCTCTGCTCCCCAGCTGGAGCAGAGACAGGGAGGGGTAGGGGCCTAGCCAGATGCTTGCCCCAGAAGGGAGCAGGGAAGAAGTTTATTCCCCCCTCCCTCCTTTGTCCCACCACCAACAACTTGCATTTCTCCATTGGCTGATCCAGTGGTGGAGTCATGGCCAGCCCTGGCAGTAGCCTGGGCTAAAATGGTCACGAAGGGGTTTAATTCCCCCCTTCCTGTCCCACCAGCAGGGACCTGAGCCAGAATCCACTGGGCACTCCCCGCTTGTTGCTGCAGCAGCAGAGCTGGGTGTGGCCAGATGCTGACCAGGATGGCCCCCTGAGGCAGAAGAGGCAGGGAGGAGGGGTTATTCCCTTCTCACCCCCACTGCTCCCTGGGGGACTGCAGCTGGATCTGTGCGTCCTGACTGCTGATGCCACCACGCATTCCCTGCTTGGGGCAAGCAGTGGAATAAGCTCCCCCCCACCCCCTTCAACCAGATGATGGAGGAAGGAGGGAATAACCCCGCTTCCTGCCCCTCCCCACCCCCCATCCTAAAGGGCCCTGCTAGCCAGCCTCTGGCCATGCCCCCACCCAGCCGCTGGAGCAAAGAGGGAGCAGGGGTCCTGATGGGGGCATCAGCCCCTGTCATGCTGTCCAGGGAGTATGAGCCCCTTGCCAACCGGGGGCTGCGCTGCGGGGTGGGGATTCCTCCGATGGGAATGGGCTCGCACTCCGGGAAACCATGGCAGGGGCTGCTGTCCCCATCATGGTTGCTCACCTAGCACTGCTCCAGTGGCTGGGTGGGTGCGGGGCCAGAGGCCGGCCAGCAGGACCCCTTAGGCAGAGGGGCAGGGAGTGGGGTTATTCCCCACTCTGCCCCCAGGGGACTGTAGCTGAGTCTGCCCGCCCCTACCGCCACCACTTGCTCTGTGCCCGGAGAAAGCGGCAGAATAACATCCCTCCTGCCCCTTCTGCCAGACGCCGGGGGGAAGGGGCGCTGGAGGGGGCTTATTGCACCACTTGCCCTGGGCACAGAGTGAGCGACAGCGGCAGTCAAGATGGGCAGACCCCACTGAGGTTCCACGGGGGCGGGGGGGAATAACCCCCCTCCCTGCTCCCTCTGCCTCAGAGGGCCATGTCGACCAGTAATTGGCTGCACCCGACCCCCCTGCTGCAGCAGTGAGAGGGGAGCATCTGGCAGACCCCAGCTTGGGTCCCTGCCGGTGGGACAGGGAGGGGGGAATTAAATCCCTTCCTGGCCAGTTCAGTTCAGGCTACTGCCCCGGCTGGCCAGGCCCTGCACAGCTTCCCTGCAGCTGAGGGCATGCTCTAGCACCCACTGGCGCCTGTCCTAAGCAACTACAGCCATGTGCCTGAATTTCCTCAGTTCAGAGGGAATGTCTGTGCACTTGCAAATCAGTTCAATCTAGGAAGATTAGATTAACCTGCAAAGATTGAATCAATTCAGGCTCTAGCTTTTTGAATATCTGTCCCTAGCCCAAGTGTTCACATTATAGATTTTTGGAGCCAGAAATCTTTTGTCCCAGGTCCATTTTGTCCTCATGCCCTATTTTCCAGAAGAAATGTAGTTGACTGTCTGAAGTCATATAGCAGTCAATGAGCTGTTATATCCTGAATGTCACACAACATCCCTTTAACCAGGTGGACCAAAACGCAGACATCACAGGGCACAAGGCATGGAGGGGTCCGGCCTACTCCTGAATGTTCTTACTTTTTATTAAAGCCCAAGGCATTAATTCTGCAAGCTACACCCAAGCCAGTTTCTGATCCACTGCATCATGTTCAGTGTGTTCATGAGCCTTAAGGTTAGCAACACACTGAAACGGGTAACCTTCCTTTTATATAGATTTCCAAGTGCATATTTCTGAAAATTTTCCTTTACAGTTATTTGAAAATACTCTTTAGTACTTGTATAACTATTGTGCAGTACAAAGACTGAATCATTGATTTTTTTAGCATAACAAAAAGTAAAACATAGAAGGCTGTACTGATGTTTTTAAAGGTCATTATAAGCACATTACATGAGCTCAGACTGCAGGAGAAACTTCTTTAATATCAAATAATCCTCAGTATCTTTCAGGCTTTGAGAAGCTTTGGAATGTATTTTCTAGAATATCCACTCCCACTATTTTAAGAGAACAAGATCCTATATAACACAGCTTTAAATTAAATCACCTAGCTTTCATACCCATCAGTGTTCACATTTAATTCACACTAACAACAATGTCATTCCAAAATGTACATTATGGAAAAAATCTTCCATTATAATTCTATTGCATCTGAAATCGAGTAATTGTTGCCAGGCAAATGTCCAGTAAGTTGAATATATATGAAAAGGAGCAGACTAACCTGTTCTTCAAAATGGAACAGTTCTTGCCATCTTCAAAAAATCAGAACCCCACAAATTCACATAAAGATTGGATGCTGTTGAAGAAAAATGTGTTGTCTTTGGCCAATCTTCCAGAGGGTCCTCACTTTGAGGAAGGTTAGAGAAGGTAAGCTGGGGAAAATGGAATTTGTAGGCTTCTCACATCAAATATCTGTTGTACTTAAGGCTGGAAAGCTGTGGGCGATCTTTTGAGTGTTAAAAAGTGGCTTCTTGAAGGCCAGAGGCTAATGCTGCATCTGACCTCATTCCATCAGTAGCGTAAGAAATCAAGCGACAAAAAGGAAAAAAAAACTACCAGGGCTAATGTGATCATATGAATTGTAATTTTTCTCACTACGGTTGTGTTCTCAGGGCTGCAAAAAAGGCCAGCAGGGGTTTGGTGTAGCAGCATCTAAATTTCTGCCTCTCCAAACTACGCCCCTGCTTCCCTTCTTTGCTAAGGAAAAGAGGAAAAGAAAGTGTAACTCCCCCCCCAAAATGGTGCATATTCCTAGAGAGCACAGGCCTGTTTGCTCTTTGTATGTTCCACCCTGTTTGCTTGTCACTTGTGATTTTGACTGATAAGTTATAACTGCTGATTCCTAAGGAGGTTCTGATGGAGTTCAATAGCTTAGCTAGGCAAAAAAAACCACCATGTAAGACACAGTTATTTCCTTCCTATAGAAGCAGGGGGATAGGCTGTCACACCTCCCGGGCAGTATTCTGACTTGCTATTTGAGAAAAAGAGGTTCTATTATCTTATGTTATACTAATCCTAATGTGTGAGGATTGGTTGAAAAGAATTATATTTTTCTCTGTTGAGTTTATAGTTACACAGCCTTTGCCTTCGTAGTGCAGTGGCATTTAGCTAAGTTTAATATTTTCTTTGGAAGAGGACCTTCTCTCTATCAAAACCTAACCAAAGTATCCAAGACAGGCCAGGATATTCCACAAATGCTCCAAAGTATTGTTCAACCTTCCCAAGAGGTCAAGCAACGTCAGTGTAAGAGGAAAGAGTCCTTCCCTGTGTAGAGAACAGCTTCTCACCTTGCACTGTTAAAGGAACAGAACTTCATCTCTAATCCTCTGAATTATATAGTGGAGGCATGTCTCAGAGCCACATGTCTGAGAGAGGGTGATAGGAATATTTCCCCAATGACAGGTACTCACAGAAGAGATAAGCTACGTTGCACTTTGATTCTGCCCCAGAGGCAGCTCCTAATTAATGTTTCTGTCCTGGATACACATAAAGGAGGCTTTCCCAGTTGTGCCCTTACTTATAACATTACAGAAAGCTATGCAACCATTAGAGAAAGTTTGATTTTCTTGAAAATCTGTACTTCTTTATCACACAGTGTTAACTATTATTTTAGAGAGCCTTTGGACTATGCCAGATGTAGGGGAGAACAGTGGAGGATGCTTTAGAAATACAGTCAAGAGGTAGGTAGATAGAACAGGGAGAAGCCAAAGTTGGTATCTGATACTGGATTTTAATTCAGACTCCAGTACCACATCTAAACCAGACCTAATCTGTGGGCCAAACACAGAGACAAATGCAACATCTGTTTGTATCCAGTCATGCAATACATTTCATCCACAGAAATCCTTGCTTCTGGCATATTTCCTGCAGGGTTCAAATGACAGGGGAGCGTGCGGAGGCTGAGCTCCTCCATAAGAGACCAGAGCTCCCCTATAAGATTTGAAAATGATAACCTGGTGGGGCATGTCTCAGATTCTATGAGGGCATCATGATGGCCAGCCCAATTGTTTTTTGGCAGACTCCCCACCAAGAGTCAAAGTGTAATTTGAACCCTGCTTCCTGGACATCGCTTCAACAGTGTAATATACAATAAGCATCAAGACTTGCAATTTTATTCCCAATAATCAACCCTAAGATGTCTTTCAAAGGCAGCTTTGTAAATAGTAATGGGCATCCACTTCAGTTCATAACAATAAGGATATTAAAAAGCATTGACAACAAACCTATCTGCCTACTGTGCAGGGAAGGAAAACTACTTTGTTCTGCCTATTCCACCAATGGAGCTGGCAGGAGATGTACAGCATTTGCATGTTGGATAAACATGTCATCTATCATGCAGGAAAAAAGGAATAAGCGTAAGGAGAACTGAACATCTCAGAAGTGCTTATCTAGCTGGCTAACGACTTACTTTCCCTCAGATCCATAGCTGTTCATACTGTCCTCGATGGATTCATGGCTGGCTTGACGGACTGTCCGGCTTGGCATTTCAACAGCCAGTCCAGTTTCTGTGCTCCGCTGAATAGCACCTTTCAGTCTCCGGCCATCCCCATCTAAGAACGAGAGAGATAGTAGGGTAGTCAGCTACTGTACAGAGGCACACAGTAATACAATGGAGTAGCAGAAATGAGGAGAATCCAGTAGAGCTCTCTCTTTCTGGGAATTAATCTGGAAATCCAGAAATCACCAAACGGTTCATTTTTTTTCATAATCATTGTATTGTATCTTACTGACACTCATAACAAGCTGCAGGTCTATTTGGGCACTCCAAAGTTTAAATCTAGTTTAAGCATGTAAATCAGATAGTTGCAAGTATGTGTACACATACCTACAGGACCACACATGCTGTTTTGCATGAAGTTAACCATTTAGCATAAGCCCTTTTAATAACTAGGAGTAGAGGTTAGGTGTGAAACTATGGGTGTATGAAAATCTGCTTTGCTGTTTTGAATTGGGAGAAAAACCAAGGATCCATACAGCGAGGCCACTCACAGCAGGGCCAGAAGGGCCAGAAATGACTAGACAGCACTAGGAATGGTGTGAACGAAAGAGTCCTTCAGACACAGGCAATGTTAGGACATTACAGCATCTCCAAAATGTCTTCCCAATGCTAGCCACCTGGATGGGATTTTTTTTTTTTTTTTTGTAGAAAATCCCACAAGACAAGCTATTTCTCCACACATGCACCCTCAGCCAGATTCTGAAAGAAATTACACTTTCATGGCACAGGCGCTTATTCTCTCCTGGGTTTAGTCTTTAAAGTTTCAGCCCTCTGAAATTAACGGTGGCTATTTTCATTCTCCTTTTCAGCAGTCTGTTTCTTGGAATGAATTATGTTATATAATGAATATATAATGAGTACCATTACCATTAATTGCTTCAGCGGATGTTAGAAAGCTACAAATTTCAACCTACATGCAGTGCTTATCCTGAAATATTTACATCAGCTGAAAGTTCTCTGAATGAATTGGAACGTGAGAATATTTTTTAAGATGCCACAAATATATACGAAGGTGTACTGTTTGTAAACACCCAGGTGACAGCACTCTGACCCACCAGACTGCATTAGTAATTCTAAGTAAAATTTATATGGCAGCAATATACAATGGCCTCTGGCAGGGCAAGGCCTTAGACCCAGAAAGAATTTAACACTTAAGTGGCATTACACCCAGAAGCACCTCCTGCTTATTGAAGGGTACTTCTGGAGAAGAAATGAACTAATTTATCACAGTGTCAGCCCTGGAAGGACCAATTTTAGGACACTTTGAATTCTCAAAATCTGGAAGTGGAGTCCTTGTGACAAGATATTTAGCAGAATTTGCAGATTTTATTGGAATCTGATAGGCTGTACCATGAGTGTTTCTGTTGTGGCCTACCACCAATACTGAAGTACTAGAGGACAGCATCTCTCATTAACTTAGCTACGAAGCCCCGTTCCCTGTGGTATCATGAGTGTTCCAACTTCATGACGATTTAGGCCCAAAGGCATTCTGTACCAGCTGCTGCATACATATATGGTACACTGCGTGCATGTCCCTCTGGGCTAACAGGATAGAGTCTGCATGTTTTAGGTTAAAATTAAATACAGTTGGTACTGTTTGTGTGCCTCGAGCAATGTGACAGGCACATCATATAAATTAGGAAGTTAAACAAACATTAAAAAAACCAACTCTGCTATCCAAGTCAAAAGCTTCAGGCAGGACAAATATTAATACATGCATCAATGAAGGGAAAGTCCAATGAGATGGTCTCATTTAGTCCCTGGAAAATACAAAAATTCTCTCGGTGGCATATTTATTGGCATTTTGTCCAGCCTTGCCTAGATGTCCCAAATGAGTATGCTTCCTCAGTTCACCTTAAGAAACTCCCAAGCGTACCTTTCTTGCACTCCTTCACAGTGTAGATGTTCCATTCAATTTCCCCTTTCACTGAATCTTTCCCCCATAATTATACCTTTTAGTACCTCTCTCAACAAGTCCCAGCCCTTGTTGTTGTGCACACTTTCAAAATATTAAGTTCCTTCATAAATCAACCCCTAGTCAGAAATAATAAATCAGCCTTAAAAGACATTCACGCGCTAGACCATGTAACATCTGCTCTCAAAATCACTGGATTTGCCCACTCTAATTAGAGATGGCTGGGGAATTAAATGCTCAAATTGCCCTGGAGCTCTTGCTGACAACAGATTGAGAGAGGTTTGGGGCAGGGTAAGGCATTCAGCTTCCCCAGGGCACCTGAAAGAGTACACTGTTTGTATCACATGTATTCCGATCTAATGCTAGGGTTTTTTCATAGAAGCAGGCAAAACGAAATACAGGTAACATGGCATTATGATAGATTGAGACACTAAGGCTGCTGACAGACGTGGGGGGAGACCCACGTTAGTTAGACCCAGCGTCCCAGTATCCGTATAGATCAGGTGTTTCAGCAGGGCTTTTTGGTGTTTTTATCTAAAACTGATTCAATCAGCTATTACATGAAAGGGCCAAAAAGCCCCACTGAAGTGCGAGATCTAGACAGATGTTCGGTGAGCTGAGTCAAGCTAATGCAATGCCTCTTCTGGGCATGCACTGTGCTCAGTGCAGGGGCATGCTGAGCTTAAAGTGCTGTTTGTCTTTTTTTCACATCTGTAAGCAGTCTAAAGCGTTGTACTCAACTCACTTGTAGCTGCTATAGAGCAAGTTCTGCTGTAGCAGAACAAACACAGCCATGCATCTACTGGCATTTACAGGCCTGATGATGAACCAAGAAGATTGTCTCAGTAAAGGGAAGGAGATTTAAAAAAAAGGTATGGCAATTTGCAGAGTATTTTACCACAGTCTTTAAAAGCTTTCAAGCCTTATAACTGAGATGAAAAACTGAGAGGAGTTCTGCAAACCAATCCTCCCTTAGCCAAGGTAACATGTCCAAAAGATAAAAAGCCTAAAACGGCTTTGAAGGACTTGTAACATGAATTGTGTAATGTTAGCAGCTGTTTAAGCATATTCCTGTCATAATCCATTTGTCTTAAAGTATTAGCACTATCTGAAACGTGTAAAGTGAGTGTTGCTCTTCTGCTGCTTCACCAGATTAACTCTCTGCACTTCTTCCAGTCAAGCAATAAAATCACAAAAGGTGAAGTAGTCCATCAAGTAGCTGCACCAACATGCTGCTAGACAGAAAACAAATTCTGGTTTGGAATGAGCTTGGAAAGATGAACTTTGTTGTCTGCATGCAGTGTTTCTTCTCGCCATAATGATCTTTCTGGTAAATATCTTGTGTTCAAGCCTCTGTACTTATAGACACATAGGCTAGGTACAGACACTGAAAAAGGCAGATGCAGAGGCAAAATCAATCTGTTATGCAGTTTTCTGTAAATGGCATAATTTAGGTCAGTAGCAAACAGAACACACATTTGCCCTTTGGAGGAGGGGCAAATCTCAGACTGGGTTCCACCATTTTTAAAGCAGGCTATGTATGCCAAACTTCTGCTCTGTTATGGGTATAAATTGGTTTACAATCACTTAAAGCTCAGGAGCCAGGTACAGACATTACACTTTTACCAGAGTAAGGCCAAAAGGTACTATTTGCTTATCTACCTAGACTTCTTGTATATTACAGGCCCCAAAAATGTATCCATTTATTGCGTATTGAGCTCAAAAAACCTGCATTTGGCTGCAATCTCTCCCAAAAAATAATACAGTCTTAATTAGACCTCAAGATGTAGAATTTCTTACTTCTCTTGATAGCTTGTTCCAGTGGTTAATCATTTTTTAAACTATGTGCCTTAGTTTCACTTTGAATTTGTGTAGCTTTAGCTTCCAGACATTACTTCTTGCAAAAAAATCCTTTTTTCACTAGATTAAAGAATCCTTCAGTACCCTGTGTTTTTCTCTGTGAAGGTACTTACTCGCTGCAATTATGTCCCCTCTAAATCTTCTTGACAAGATGAACATTTTTCAAAATCTATTAAAAAATGTGGACACCAAAACTGCACATAATATTCTAGCATTTACCTGACAAGTATCACCTCAAAAGGTCAAGTCATCTTCCATTTATTCCCTTCCTCCCTGTTCATACTTCCAAGATTGTATTTTTAATACAGAATCACACTGATGTTTATTCCCTCTAATGCCTGGATCCATTTCAGTCACTGATTTCCAGGCTATAATCCCCACCATTTTGTTGATACAGCCTGTGTTCCTTGATACTATGTCTATAACTTTTTATTCATCTGGAATGAAACAGTTTGCTTGAACGGGCCCAACTCACTAAGCAATGCTGTACGAATGTCCTATTTGCCTTATTAATTACCATTCTGCCAGTTTTGGGGGCAGCTGAAATTTTTATCAGCAATAATTTTGTATTTAGCTCCAGATCACAGATGAAAATGCTGAGTGATGTGAGGCCTGGTACCAACTTCCTCCTGACCCCACTAAAAACACCCAACTTGATAACAATTCCCCACCCACAGCTAATTTTTGACATTTTAGCCAGGTCTTAATCCTTTAACATTTACAGTTGCTTGAATCAGAATGTCATATCGTAGTAAGTGACACACCTTACAAAAATTCAATTACATCTGTTCAGATACCTTTATCAACCAAACATGGATGGAAACCCTGTTTGACAAGACTCATTTTCCATTAAAAAAAATCTTGATAGACAGTTACCTTTCTATCCTTTAAATCCTTATTAATAAAATCTTGCATTTTCCATTACCTTGTCTAGGACTGATGTCTGGCTAACTGGCTTATAGTTATTTCAATACAGTCTAGAAATGGATTGGAGGGAGTGAAAGTGATACCACTTGAAGCATTAGAGAGATAATAGGACACTTCTGAGCATTTTTGAGGCTGCCAACTACAATAAAAGCTAGTTCTTACAAATGATGCACCAAGATTATCATTACACATTCCTTTAGGTTTTTGTTGCTTTGATATTGGGGAGAAAACCTAAGGGTTTTACCCCAAAACACAGTCATTGTCTTGCACAGTACATATTATCTTACACATCAGTCTAAAGCACAGGTCTCCAAAAAGCCATTTCTTTCTGCTACAGACAGCTTTTTCTG